GTGACTCAACATCACCAAGCTCTACTCCTTCCTCCCAAAACTATTTGCTTCATCTGCAGTAGAACACGTGGATCTCAGATTGGCCTCTTCAGTCATCTACAGACTCACCACTGACTTCCCCATTTACCCGAAAATTGTCATCCTTGTATCAAGGGACTGTAGATGACAATGATGTGTACGCAGGCTCAACTATAGCTACCACCCCCGCTCTCCCTAAGACAAAACGCAAAGTGTTTATCATGGGAAACTCCATCCTGAGAGGGATGGAGGTGGCAATCTGCCGCCCTGACCCCTTAGCCCGGGAAGTTTGCTGTTTCCCAGGAGCCTGTATCCGAGACATTGTGGAAAAGATCCCTGAACTCCTCCGGCCCACTGACCACTAACCTATGCTCCTTATCCATGTGGGCACAAATGACACGACTTGGAGCAATCCCAGCCGGGTCATGAAGCACTACAGAGATTTGGGAGTGGAGCTAAAGAGGTTGGGGGCGCAGGTGGTGTTTTCTTCAGTCCTCACAGTCATGGGCTACAGACTGAGGAGGGAGGGAAGGATTGAGGTAGTAAACCAAAGACTACAGCGTTGGTGTCATCGGGAAGGCTTTGGCTTCCATGACCACAGCCCACTCTTTGGCGAGAGCGGCAGTGAGCTGCTGGGAAGGGACGGCCTGCACCTCTCTTCACTGGGGAGGAGGCTCTTCTCAGCCAGACTGGCTGACCTGCTCCACCGGGCTTTAAACTAAGCCCGCCAGGAGATGGGGGGACTACCGCCACTGCTGGCCCGCTGAGCAACCCTTGAGGAGCAAAGTCAGCAAGTCAAGGCACTTAAGGGAGCCCACCCCTGCCCCAGCCCTGGAATGAGCTGTGGGCAAGGCAAGGGTCCCTAAAGGGACACGTGTGCCTATACACGAATGCCAGGAGCTAGGGGAATAAACAGGAGAAACTTGTCCTCCTGCTAAACACACATAATTACAACATCATAGAGATAATGGAGACCTGGTGGGACTCCACCCATGACTGGCCCACAGGTATAGATGGCTATACTTTGTACAGGAGAGATCAAGTGGACAAAAGGGATGGGGGTGTAGCTCTCTATGTCAAGGAAAGCTACGTGTCCCTGCAAGCTGACATTGGAGCCCAGGGGGGATGATTGGAGACCCTCTGGGTTAAAATCCATGGAGAACATGGCAAAGGGGACACTGTGGTGGAAGTCTACTACAGACCCCCTAACCCAGATCAAGACTTTGACCAGGAGTTTGCTAGGGAATTGCCTGAAGCTGAGTGCTCCTGGTGCATGGTCGTCATGGGAGATTTCAACTACCGTGACTTCTCATGGGAAGAGCGCTCGGCCACATCCGAACGGTCGCAAAGCTTCCTCGTGTGTGGATGAGCTCTATCTGACTCAAGAAGTCTATGACCGATGAGAGGCAAAGCGCTGCTCGACCTGGTACTGGCAATGCGGGGTGACTTAATCAGTGACCTAACAATCGAAGGGAAGCTGGGAGACAGCGACCATGAGCTGATCACTGCCCCCTTGGCTTTGCAGGAAACTAGCAGACCTCCTGATTGTAAAAAGAAAGACCTACAAAGGATGGAGGATGGGATCCACCTCCAAGGAGGAGTACTCTGCTCTGGTCCGGACCTGCAGAGAGCAAACCAGGAAGGCCAAGGCTGCGA